ATGAATAAATTACTGAGGATGCTAAATAATAGCTTTATTTGATTAGAGATAATATATAAATATAGTCTGATACTGTTCATTAAAAAATAATTTTTTGCAAGACTATAATCTAGACGGAGGCTAAACATAATCCATTCGGCTAGAAACAACCTTAGAATCGAGGTAGCTAGAAAAATACCGGTGCTTGTCCTAGCGTGCAAGAACCAACAAGTCTCCACCTTTCTGTCAAATAACAGCAGGTGACAAAAAAATAGAAAAAAAACTAATCCACATGATAAATGTGCCTTGCACCTATAAGTCTATCTGAGGAGACAACCGCTTTCGAACTACAAGTCTATGAAAGCAATTCTATATATTAATTGGTACTCCTATTGTCCAAAAAAATATATTAATTGGTACTCCGTTTATTTAAGCGCAGTATACAACTGTCAGATTAATTAAGAAGCTAAATATTGTGGTAATTATGTCAATTTTGATCAACCTTTCCGTCAAATAATAGTGTGAAAAAATAAAATACGTTATAATATTTGTTCAAGACTCAACTTGTTCATATTATATTCATTCGTTATAGCATTTGCTCAATATTTGAAAATTGATCTTCTTCAAATTTCACTATAATGTACTTGCCACCAATTGCACCATAATGTACTTGCAATTTTTTTAAATATCAAATGTTTATTAGCTACATATCCATTGTGAGTAGGGTGTTCCATGTGGGTATAGTATCAAACTCAACGATCTTATATAACTAATCATTTTAATGTTCTGCTTAGTTACAATTGTGAGTAGGGTATTCCATATAGGTATAGTATCAAACTCAGCAATCTCATATAACCAATCATTTTAATATCCTGCTTAGTTAAAAAAATGTGGTACCAGGCTCAAGAGAAGCAGCAACCAAAGGCATGAGGGATGATGGATGAATATGAAAACTGATATGAGTAGGAAGTCCATCGCATAATACGGTGGGAAGAACGAATCCATAGAATTGATAGATCTCTAGCGTCTCTATTGCAGTGAGAGATTCTTGTGTTCGACCGTATAAAAAGGAAAGTAAAGTAGAATATTGATGGACAAGGATTGTTTGTCCTCTCATTTCTGGTGCCCTTCCATGCCCTCTTGTTTTATGTGGTCACAATTAAATCACGTCAATATTTTATATTATTTTTTATAGAGGGCCTGCTTCTTCAAGGCTATTGTATAAAATTGCAACTTTGAGCTGGCTTGTGCAAAGCATGTCAGCTTTGGGACCAAACAGTTCGGAAAATCCTATTCAACGGTAAAAAAAGTTACTTTCATAATATTTTATGTAATATATTTTTATCATTTTTCTATTAAAGATACGACTCATTCTTATTTCGATAAGAACAACTCATCACATTTATTAAAAAAAATGTTAGAGAGACTATCTAATTAGATGATATATGTAAACAATATAATGTGTTACCAACAAAATCAAACTAACAATTATAAGCACAGGTGGAGAAGTACACAATACATATCACAATGTGGAAACACACAAGGAACTAATACGAGGATCGGTGTAATTTCCTTTCAACAAAGCATTTGTTATCCACTTGTATGCTGCTTCAGTAAAGTGGATACCGTCCCAGCTGATAAACTCTGCAGGATTTTCACAAGCACTTGCCTGTCGCATACCACATTGTGCTGATGAATTGTAATTGTATGTCCCTCCTCCTCCGCAGCACGCTTTTGGACTTCCCCCGATAAATCCTGAAATTACACGAATCAAATTTTTTTATCGTAAACAGGTTTTGCTTCAGCAATTGAAACAATGCACCAAAAATCCGCAAGCTATTTCACAAGGCCTATTGAAAAAGCTAAGTTTTGAGTAGTGACTAAAATATATGCACATGAAGTTTGAATCTTCATCGTTTAACAAAACATGAAAACAAACGTCAATAAAATTAATTGAGAGTTGAAGTACCAAATTGTTCTGGAGAATGATGTAAGTACATCATAGCATTGTAATAATCTGCATAAATGATGTTGACGTGAGGATGAAGGCTTCGAATCCGGCTTAGTTCTGTCTGAAGCTGCTCATTGTAATACTCAACAAACTTGTTTAACCAATTTAAACAACCAGTTGAAGGGTCGTAGTCACTCTCATCTGAACCCTCATAGTTTGTAAGATAGATGGGAAGGCAACCAATTGGAAGGTTTCCAGGTACCAAAAGCGTCGCGGCCCCAAGCTCGATTAACTCCTGCAAAGCAATAAAGCCACAAAAAGTTAGACAAGCCTAAAGGAGATCGCGTTTTTTAGAACCATTGTGATCCAAGCTTTCCAAACTCTTACATTGATGGATAAACCAATTTCTTCTATCACCAATGGCACATATTCTTGAACCTGTTCTATACTTTTCCCGCCAAGCAAGGCATCGTTGTAATCATTGCCCCCAATCTCTCCCATGAGAATTAGAGAGCCCGAAAGGAATTCACTGCAATCTGCAATTAGAATCGATCAGACAGGCATCATGTACAACCTAATTAATTTCCAAAAGTTACAATTAAATGACAAGAACTAGAGTTAGTTTTTAATCTTACACAAGGTTTTATTCTAAGAGTAATTTTTTTAAGGATTGTAATGAAATTTTATGTTTTTTTTCCTTGATACAAGGATACATTTACCTTAAGAGATGTGAGAATAAAATAGTATCGAACTCGCTATTCACAAAATTCAAACCTAAAATCTCTCATTTACAAAGTTGGAGATGAGCTCATTCAGTAGCTGAGAGAAGGCGAGAGGTAAAGTGTCAATGAGTTCATATGGACCCCAACAACTTTATATTGCTCCTGGGAGTGGGCGTGGGGTGTTAAAGTGTCAATGAGTTCGCATGACCCACTAACAACTTTATATTACTCCACACAAATTTTGCCATTGATCCCCACACCCCAACCTAATTTCCAATAATTGGGTTTATTCAGTAGCGGAGGGGAGGGGGGAAGGGGGGTGTCAATGAGTTCACATTGACCCCAACAACTTTATAGTACTCCACACAAATTTTGCAATTGATCCCCACACCCCAATAAGAATTTCCAATAATTAGGTTCAGTTTAAGTTTATGTCTGCATGCTTTTGATTTCCATTATTTATCAAAACACTCTATTAATTAACAGTATTTCATAGTGAGTTCAATCAATTGAAAGGATTGATCAATAATCTTTCACAAACGTTGGTGCATTTGCTTATGGGAGTCAAATAAAAGGTCGTGGCTGCTTAAGTGGAAAAAACAAAAATTCTAATATTATACAATTAAGAACTTAAGATCATTGTTTGGTTATAATTTGGTTGTATACATCAAAATAAATAATGACACTGTTGATAATATATCGTACAATGACAAGTCAAATATAAGAACCAGCCGTGAATTATATATCTAAACAACAAAATGTTAACACATTACTTTTTTATCATGACCTCAGTGAGTTCAAATCCTATCTCCGTCACTGAGCTCATTCCTTCCCCTCCGCCCCCACTTATAAATAATGTATCTTCATCATAAAAATTTCATAATCAGAACCATTCAATTTCTTAATCATCATGTGAATATCATCCTTACAAGAAATCATTCGATTCAGAGATCGTTAAGTCATTCAAATGTTTCAAATAAATCAACGGTCCATCATGAATATATTACTTAGCACGTACAATGTTGATTTATTTGATACATTTGAATGATTAAACAATCTCCGATCCGAACAGTTTTTTTAGGGTTAATCTTCAAATGAAGATTAAGAAATTGAACTATTTCGATTACGAAATTTATATGGTAAAAATATGGTATTTGCAAGTGAGAAAATGAGCTTGGAATGCAAATACTATTCTCCTTAAGATAAGCATGGGAAGGAATTCCAAACTTACTTGAAGATATGTTGCAAAAATATGGAAGAATTTCCTTAAACCAGCCCATTTGAATTCCCAGAGAGTTGTTGGTACGTGGATTAGAATCTCCCATTTCTTCAAGAAAGGTGGCGTCAAGTGCCGTGGCTCCTGCCACGGCGAAATTCACTCCCCCTTCAAAGTTTTGGATACTTTTCTGGCTTTCGAGATAAGGTCGAACAAGCGGAAGTCCGAGATATTCAGCTGAAAACGAAAATGTGAATTGGGAAACTGATAAATTTGAAAACGCAAGATATACTGTAAGTGGATGCATACCAATGAAGTCTATGACTAAGCGACCGTCGGAGCAGCGCCCGGTGGGGCGATGAAAGTAGGTCATCCCATATGGAGGGAAGAAGAAGTGGACAGTCTCGTTAGGAGAGCTGATCTTTAAGTTTCCGGTATCAGCTAGCGAATCGCCAAAGCTGAAAATTGAACTGAAGCAGCATGAGGCATGAGGGATGAGTATGAAAACTAATAAGAGGAGGAGGTTCATCCAATAATATTGTTGGAAAGATGAACCCATAGAATTGAAAGATCTCTAGCCAACGTCTCTGTCGCAGGGAGAGATTCTTGTGTCTAAACTCGCGTATGGGAACGAATATTGTGGTTGAAGGCTGGCTGGACTTTCTTTAGCAAACTTTATTCCCTTCTTTATGGAGGATTATTAACTGGACTAGGATAAGATAACGGTTTTTTAAGTGTGGATTAAGAAATCATACCGGATTAATAATTGATCTACCTACAATAATTTAAGAGATAGTGGATTAACTATTCTGTAAAAACAATGGTTTTGTAGATCAGGAAAGCATGTCTGATTAAAAATTCGTATTCTGAACAAACAGTATCAACAAGTTTCTGATTTGACACTATGATGGACGGAATTGGTAACGTCTAAAATCGTCGCCATGCGTCGAAATTAAACCCCATTTTCAAGTACTTAGGAACAAAAATTCTAACTAAATTACATTTTACCATCTCAAGTTTAAAAGTCGATTTTAATTTCTTACAATATTTTTAAAATATTTTAATTTTATATTATTTTATTTCAATATAATACATTCGTTACATTTTTCATCCATTGATTCGTTAAACGCTGACGTGGCTGACAGAAAAAACCTGAAAACGCATAATCCCACTCCTCTTCTTCCTCCCGAGCCTCCCAACACATCGCTCTCCTTCACTCTCTTCACCTCCCCTCCCATCCAAAAACCCAACTTGGGGGGGCATTTTATTTTTTTGCCTTCTTCTACAGCAATCCCAAAGATCAATCATGAGATTGGAGAGTTTTTCCTCCAAAATCTCAGCAACCAAACACAACCAAGAAGCTTACAGATAAGGAGGCGAGGCGATGAGGGCATCTGTCATCGAAAGCGACCCACGATTCACCATCGTACCAGATAACAAGGTCTCGACCCATAAGCTAAACTGGGGTTGGCAACCGAGGATCCAAATCTTCAATCAAATAAACTGGGTACCAATGATCCCTCAAATTGAACTTGTTCGTCGATGTCGCGTCTTCAATTTCGTCCTCAGCTCCGTAATCTTCCCCGTCCGGTTCCCTCTATCCTTCTGGGTCAGTGGTTTGTGGCGGCGGCGATGCACTCGCAACTACTCTCAGATGAGGTAGATTTTTCGCTCTGCCTGGTAAATTACGATTTAGGTTTTTGGTGGAGATCAAGAAATGGGGTGTCTTGAGAGATTTGGCAGGTGGCGATGCCTGCGATGATAGTGTGAAGATTGTAGGAGATATAAAGGAAGATAGAGAAAATGCCATGATAGTGTGAAGACTGTAGGGGGTATCTTGAGAGATTTAGCGTTGGAATTTAGAATTATTTTATTATTTGAATTTAGACTTAGCCCATTAGTATTAGGGTTTCGTTTTATTACTTATTAGGGTTAGGTTAGTTTTCTATATATATGATTCTTTGTAGCTCGTAGAATATCAAGTTATTTACAATGTAGCCTCTTGGAGTTTTGTAGTTGTTTCGGCATTTTCAGTTAGTTTAATAATATTCTTATTATTTTGTTAGTCTTGTTCTTTTCGTACTCTAATATTCAACTTTTAGTGGGTTTGTTTTCCACACTTCAGTTCTCTAATTTTCTACTAAAAAGGGGGGGGAGGGATAGAGAGAGAGAGAGAGAGAGGAGTTTGCGTGCAAGTTTGAAATGAGTTCCTGTTTGCCTGTTTCTCACACTTCAGTTCTTCTTCTTCTGCAGAACCTTCACATAATCCAAGCGCTCTCTCTTTCTCTGTGTCTGTGCGTATGGTTGTTTGGATGTTTGTGTGTTGTGTAGGGGTGCAGGTGAAAGAAGGGAGAAAGGGGGTGGGGGTGAAAAGGAGAAAGGGTTCGGGGAAGGTGGGGGTGGGGTGGGTTTGTAATATCCCGAAAATTTTAAGTGATGATTAAGAGTGGATTGCTTGTGGTCATTGTTAACAAAAGTAAGTTGCCTTGTTTGAGGTTTGAATCAATTGGCATTTGACCCATTAAAAAATAATAACAAAAAAATAAATAAAAATAAAACCAAAGAAAAATAATAAGGGACGCTTATGTTGGTAAGGAGAAAAGGTTTGAGCACATTCTAGAAAACCGTCTTCCTTAGTTGCTCTCTCCTACAGCCGAGAGAGATGAAGAAATTCCTTTCCTTTAGCTCTTAAACTTCCAAAAAGAAAATTAAGGAAGAGGAATTTAGTTTTCTTTTCCTCTATTTGTGAAGATTAGGACAAGTGAGGATCCTTTCTTTGTGTCCATTAGAGGTATCTATTTCTTACCTTGGAAATCTATTTGATATTTGGTTTGATAACCCATGAATTAGTTTGGGTGGGATTAGGAAACATGAAGGTATCATATTGCATGTTATAGTTTTAGAGATGAGCACCAAGTGTTTGTTTAAAGTCCCAAATTAACCTTGAATTAAGGTATGTTGTCTGGTATTTTTGTATGAGCAATGTGTGATGATTTTTCTTAATTATAGATAAGGAAGAGAAGGACAAGGTGACTACTGAACAAGTCGACGAACACCATGGGAGTTGAATATCAAGAAATTGTGTTGAGGTAGGGGAGTTCTAACCATAAAACTATTTTGATTTTTCATTTTACTTGATAAAGGATTGTTGGCATTTAAGCACTATTTCGAGCGCACTTAAAAAAAAAAAATTCCATTTTTGATTATGTGAAAGAAGTGAAGCAAAAGTTTCTCTATGGTTTGATTCTAATGATTTTAATTTCGTTGCTACAACTTTGGTGAGTTTAAAGTGATTGCAATGATTTTCAAGATTGTGTTTTTAATGTGCATGCCTCTTATTTTACTCATTATCGAATTTTGAAGCATCTTGATATGAATGTTCAAATTGTGAAAGTAGATGGAAAGTAGTATAATACCTGTGAAATTGAGAATGTTGAGGAATGTATGAATGTGCACAATGACCCGTGAAATTGTTTAGTTTATGGGCACAATGACCCAATGTTCCCCGGAGAAAGCTTCATGTGTGGGCTGTAAGAATGAGTTATCAATGTGACATATATGTGTGGTATATATGTTGGCCAAGTATATTATGATTCTTTCCAATCTGCTAATCACTTATTTAGGATAAAAGAGAGACTTTGTGATCAGTTGTGCTATTGTTTCTTTTAATAATAATGGCTCTGTTGTCCTTATGGCAAAAGAAGTGTTTTTGAACCATGTGTTGTACTGTGTTGTTATCAAAGCTGTTTATGCTCTGAAACTTTGGTCTCCTACCATCTGTTACTTCCAAGCATTTTAGAGCATAATTCCATTGTTGGATTACGTAGTGGTGGATGTAAACTGTTTTGAATCACTCTTATCATTTTTCGGCATGCACCAGAAATTTTAAATGACTACGGACTTACCGAAAAACCCTTACTGGGCATTTTATGCTCACCCGTTTTTCTAAAAATGTATTTTTAGGTGGTGTAGGGTTGAGTAGCTGGGTTTCGAGTTGCAGCTCTATTCTAGACTAGTAGAAGGGAGTCCAGACATATATCTTTTGGGTGAGCTGCCAAAGTATTTGTATAGTTAGTCTTTGTTTGTAAATGATCTTTTTATTGCGTTGTAGACTTGGAAGGTGTAGGCCACAATGGGTTAGTGTCTCTACTTACTTGGGCAATGAAAACCATGTATATATGGTCACTTGTCTTTTGGCTTGTATAAATTATGCTCATGTACATTTTCATCAAATGACATGAACATGTTTTTCTTGTAAGAAGCCTTGAAGGTCTTTTGTGAACTTATTATAATTTGTAAGGCTTAATGAATTGCCTTTGGAGAACCACTATGAATTAGGTTATGTTTAAAACTGTGGTTGATTATCTACTACCTAGGTTGCATTCTGAAAGTTTCAGATTTTTACCCTTTGGAGCATAATCAGTTTTATTTCCAAAGTGACTTGGTGCTGCTGAAATTGTTTTTTTTTTAGAAAAACAGCAGCATGCTTGTGAAATCCCGTTCCCGGATTTCACTGTTTAAAATTACGTATTACGTATTTCGTATTCTTAGTTTCGACGCTTTTATATTTACAGCATATTTGATCCCTACGTATGTTTCCACTTATCTTTATATATTTGGATAGTAATCGTCGAGACAAACGCATGTATGCAAACAAAATGTGATTCAGAATAATAACGAAGATTTTATGAGGTTTTGAACGTTAAGGGTACTTTTGGTAAATTGACAATTCAGCTCATGATGTATTTGGATGAATGCCACGTGGGCCACCCCCACTTTTCTGGAACCCTCTCTCTCCTTCCTCTTTTTTCCTATAACTCTTCACTCTCTTTAACTCTTTCTTTCAGCTCTCCCTTTCTTCCCGTGAAACAAACCATCATCATAACCAAAAATTTTGGCTTGTTGAACACCAAAACCACCATTATCTGCATGTCTTCACCACCATAAACCCATTTTTGAGTTTTGTTTCATTGAAAACAAATCCTAACCTTGAGTTCGAAGAACAAGGTTTTGGGCCGAGACTTCTAGGTATGATTCAGACAAATTTCAACCATCGGACTCGAAATAGGTATAAATTGACTCCTCATGATGTGTAGATGAATTTTCATGCTTGGGTCGTGTGATTTGGTTGAGAAATGAGAAAGTTATAACGATTTAAAGTTTGCCCAGTTTCCGATGAACCCGTGACCTTCTAGACCATTTTCCGGCCAAATCACGACGATTTAACAGTTGGGAAAGGTACCAATTTGTTTGTCTCGTTCCAAGCTATGATTTTCGTTTTTGAATCACTCGATTTGGTTGAGTATTGACAAAGTTATGGACGTTTAAAGTTTCCCAAAAATTCTGGCGAGTTACTTGTTTTCCCACAGTCAGCCATATTTCAGGCTATTTTTCGGCCACCTCCGGCCACCATTTGGACTTTAAGCAGGTATAATCTTGTTCTGCACTTCTCTAGCTTCGTTTTGGTATATTATGGGTCGAACTTGGGTGTGAAATGAGTGACATATGGAGTTCTAAAGATTGCCCAGAAAATCTGCAAAATCTGCAAAATCCGGCGAAATTTCGTTAAGGTTCGCCACTTGAACATTATAGCAATCGACGATCCGACCGTTGGATCGTCACCAAACTTTGATACATTATAATACGTAATATTTAAGGACCTTAGGAACTTACAAATCGAAAATCTAGAGCTTGGATCTTACAGAGCAAGTGACGTAGGATCATAGACCTTACCCTTGAACGACGGTTTGATTCTCATTAAATGTTGTTGTGGGGGACATGAGAGTTTTTGAGTATGTGAATTATCAAAGGAAATCTAAATGTGGACTTGTACTTTGTTTTAGGCGACGATATTGCGTGACGTCTCGATTCTTGTGCTAGGGTGCGTTAGCGCAGACTCACAACTTTAATATATGTGATATTGGTGATTACCCTATTTTCGTAATTGTTATCCTGTGTGGATATGACTTGGTTTTATAAATATGTTTTCTATTAAATTGTTATTTTTAATACTTAGCTATTGATTATGTTTATGAAATGATATTTGACGTGTATATTTGAAATATGGTTTGATTTGTATGATTGGCATGTTGTGATGGAATGTGAGGGCTAGTAGTGAATTGTTAACCTTGTGATGGGGATTTGTTGCTTCGATATTGTTTCATTTCCCGCTTCGTTGATTCGTTCTAAATTTAGTATTTGTGTCTTGTTTCACTTTGTTTCACTTTTGTAAATTAAGTAACTTGTGTGTTGTCTCGTTTGTTTGAGCCATTGTACGTTATGGTTGTTGGCCTTCCGCTCGTTTCCGTTGAGTGATCCAGAACTGCCTATCCACTGGGGTTTCGTTGAGTGGTCTGGTTCCCTGCTTCGTCTGGATTCCGTTGAGAGGTCCAGAATCCCTCGTGATCCGCGATTCCATTTAGTGGTCTAGAATCGTATCCAGCTTGGATATCATTGAGTGGTTCGATATGCATTGTACTCTGTAATTTCGTTGAGAGGTTCGGAATCTCTTCTATTCCGCAATTCCATTAAGTGGTTTGGAATCGTATCTTGGTTGGATTTCGTTGAGTGGTCCAAAATCCTCTTTGGTGTCTTGGTTTCGTTGAGTGGTTCGAAATCCCCTTTGGTGTCTTGGTTCCGTTGAGTGGTCCAAAATCGCATCATTTGATTCATTCGAGACAGCTTTAGAGATGTAGGCTTCGGCCGAACTGTGTCGCTCTAGCCCTGCATTTCGGTGTATTGTATGAGTTATTGATTGATGTGATAATTGGATGGTGTTGGAATGCATATGTGTGGATGAATGACGAGATGACTAGAGATTATTATTGTACTTTGTTAAATGTTCCTTGAAGTGCTACATGATTGAATTGTGGTATTATGTTGAGACATAATGGTCTATGTGATGAATGTTCGAGTGTAGTGAAATGGTAAACTACGAATGACTTAATCCCTATTGAGGGTACATGAGCAGTCTAACGAGGAGGTTAGATGCAGCCATAAAGTATACGAAAAATTACTACGCAATTCAAATCTTGAGTTATGCTTGGTACATATTCTGGAGGCAGGGTATGTTAGATATACGAGTTTTTGATGACGTCACGTATTGGTCTTGGACGTATGTCAGGATCAGGGCGTGACAACTTTTGGTGGTATCAGAGTTTAAGTATTATATGTCTATAACCTTACCTTAGAGTGAGGAAACCTTGGGTAAGTTATGGGTAACTAGACCTTTACGTAAGCAGTGTGGGTTCGTCCTGAGTATTATTTATTCGCTTACGCTAAATTATTTTATTCTTCAGACGTTCGATGACGACTCCACATGGTGCTACCTAGTCGATTGGGGATAATGTTACTGATGATGACGTAGCTCCTGGTACTGATAAGGAGGCTAGCCACGACTATGGTGAACCTGATGGTGCTTTTCGAGCAATTGAGGATTTGGCTCAACTCATGCAAGCTCACATTCATGCGACTTCTCCTAGTGGGAAGTCTTTGTATGGAGAGTTTCGCAATCACAAGCCTCATTCATTTGATAGTTCTACTGATCCGTGGGTGGCTGAGTCTTGGATGAATCAAATAGCCAGGATTTTCACCGTTTTGCGTTGTTCATCGAGAGTCAGAGAACCCTAGGGCCCCAATAAAAAGGCTTGCCTAGGACCCCTAAATTCTCAAGGCCAGCCCTGAGAAATCTTATGCAGTTCTTGAGGTTAACTTTCTTTAGCAAATTAACTTTATTCCCTTCTCTATGGAGGCTTTAAGCTCGGGTATCAGACTTTCAAGGCCATGCTTCTCGTAGTCGGACAACGATCCCAATCCAAGAACTTCATCAACGCCATTCTTCCCTAGCTTTACCTGCAACAGTTGTAACAAATGAAATTAACTAAGGAAACTATTCCAACATAACATCACGTAACAACATAAAACTAAGTTAAGAGAGTCATCTGACTTGGTTAATCAGTTACTTTGGAGGCAAGGAAAGGTAATTTTGTGACGCTTGATTGCACAAATGAGCATTCAACATATGGAACCAACTTAAGTTAAAAAGAAAGAGCTAGAGATAGAAAGACAAAAGCTTAATTGGGAAAACAGAGGAAAAATGGTTATTCCAGCAAGACCAACTAGATATTAACGTCTGCAATTTCCAGCAGTCATTTCACGAATATATATAACAAAAGGGAAAAATATAAAGCCAGAACCGCGATCCATTGTGTAACATCGACATTGTTCCTAACTTAACTAGATACACATACAAGTAGGTGTGATGTTTACTAGTAGTGGAGCCACTCATTTCTATACCATATTATATTGGGGGGTGCTATCCACACACCCCATTTTACTTCTCACACACCCCTTGATAATTTCTGTCTGTTGATCTTCTTCAATTCATTGGATCCGACAACCGAAAATTAAGAAGGTGTGTGAGAAGTAAAATGGGGTGTGTGGATATCACACCCCATTATATTTTGTCAAATATCAGATGTACATTTTCGGTTACAAGTCATTCTACTATACATAATTACATATCGACTTTTTAGCCAAAATGGTCCCTGAGATTTGCATAACACATCACTTTGGTCCATGAGATTGAAAATCAATAGAAATGATCTCTGAGATTGTCCACCATCCATTATTTTGGTCATTTCGTTAAAAAGTCGGTTAAGTGTCCCGGAGCTCTTGGCCGGAAGTTTGGGCAATTTTCAAAACTTCGTAACTCAATCGTTTCTTAACCAAATTCGACCATAATATATCAAAATGAAGATAGGAAAGTGTAGAATAAGATTATACCTATTTAGAAGCCCAATGGTTTCCGAATATGGCCGACAAATAGCCTGAAAGGTGACTAGTCCGCAGGAAAACTGGAAACTCGCTGGAAATTGGGTAAACTTTAAACGTTCATAACTTCTTCAATACTCAATGAAATCGAGTGATTCAAAAATAAAAATTATACTTCTAGCTGAGAAAAAGAGAATGATACATTTCTCGATGGCTAACTAGCCGTGGTTTAGCCGGAAAACGGCTTGAAAGTGGCTAACTTGATGACCAAGATAGCCAACTTCGAGCCGTTTTTTGGCCAAACCACGGTGATTTAGCCTTCAAGAAAGATACCATTCTTTTCGTCTCATCAAGAAGTATGATTTTAATTTTTGAATCACTCGATTTTGTTGAGTATTGAAGAAGTTATGAATGTTTAAAGTTTACCCAGTTTTCGATGAATTTTTCAGTTTTTCCGTTGACCAGTCACATTTTAGGCTATTTTCCGGCCATCTTCGGCAACCATTGGGCTTCCAAATGAGTATAATCTTGTTCTACACTTTCCTATCTTCATTTTGATATATTATGGGTCGAATTTGGTTAAGAACGATTGAGTTAAGAAGCTTTGAAAATTGCCCAAACTTTCGACCAAGAGCTCCAAGACACTTAACGGAGTTTTTAACCAAATGACCAAAATAATGGATGGTGAACAATCTCAGGGACCATTTCTATTGATTTTCAATCTCAGGGACCAAAGTCATGTGTTATGCAAATCTCAGGGACCATTTTGGATGAAAAGCCTTACATATGCTTTGCATTTTTGGCAGTTCAAATTGATTCACTAAATTCCCTTGGATCTTTCAGCGACATCCAGTCATGCATTGATGTAGTTTAGAATTGGTATTTTCGGGTCCGAAATATTGTTTCAGTAGTTGGTGGCAAAGCCATGAATCCCCGGAATACAATGCTGTAATACAAAATAATCAACATGTCCTACTCCTACTGCATGAAATTTGAAAAACCAATTATATCATGAAAATAGATTTAGTGATGATTTTTGTAGAACTTCGCAAATCATATTAAGTTGTAGATTTGATTAATTTATTGCTTCTATAAAAAGGGGTTAGGCTGAAGAAATTTAACATGTCATCTTTGTAAATGGGCCATACTATTGTGGTTGGTGTAATTGATGTTCCCGTAGGGACATTTAGTTAAAGTGTTTTAAAACGAATTTTCTCTATGCATATTGTAACATGTGGAAGAGATGATCCAGATATTTGCTTTTTGTAGAAGCATTTAAAGTATTTTTTTTAGGATCCACTTGAATTTTTACTAAGGATTGGTTTCAAAAACATTTTCATCAAAAACATTTTCAATCATTTTAAAAGTACTTCCAAACAAACAAAAAATGATTAAACAAGAAGCAGTGTAAGGGGGTACAAGTCAGAAGACGCTGCAACAATGGACATGATTAGACATGAATATATGTGCTGAAACTGTTGTGTGTTTATCATTTCCGTAACCACAAAGGAGTATTATGTCCCAAAATCAAGAATATTGCATGTTTCTTGGTAACTATTTCCTAATCCTACCAGGATAGGAACTCCATATTAGAAAAGTACGACAGCAAATTATGATGTAAAATTTGTGAACTATTGATAGCAACGAGGCCTCTTAGGATAAAACTCTACACTTGAATGTTGAATGAATTCATTGAGCCTTATCTCACCCAATTAAGTTCAGAATAATATTATGTTGAAATTGTATAGCTACCATTAGAATTCACAAATAATGTTCCTATGATAGCATAAAATTGCAGTAAGTACACAAATGCTCACGCTACGGAAAATAATTGAGTCGGGCAATAAAATTTCTTTCGTGGTGTCGAAGTTTTCTAAAAAATAAAAGAATAATAATGAAAATTTGTAATAACAAATAAAACTTTTAAGTGCCAACCCAAATTTCATAAATTTACCCTGACAAATTCATCGAACAAGGATTCCTAAGGCTTTCTTTTGCAATGTTCGAACAAATTTTCAACAAAAAAAATCAACAGAAAGTGGAAAGATCGAGAAAAAAAACTGTGGTTGAAAAATGAACAAACCACTATTAAATTACACGCTACGTATCAGATCGTAATTAACAAGGAATCTTAGATGTGAACCACTTCATGATCGAAAAGGGAAGCTTGATCAACGCCAGAGCAAACTCAACTATGATCGTCACGCACAAGCAGCACGGACATATGCAAGTCAACGCCAACCCGACTATCCAGATGACGACGCCGATGACGGAGAGGATGAGAGCGACGAAGGCGAAGGGCAGGCCGAGGAGAAACCCTAGCGGCCTGCATTCACAATCGTCTCCGCAGCAGCAGCTCATCGCTTGTTTTTTGGTGTTCTTGTCTCTCTTCTACTTCTTTATAGTTTGTAGGTTGCGGAAGACGATAACTATGGAAGGCAACTTCGTTTGGTTTGTTGTCAATTGTAGGAAACGATATGACTAAGGAATAGGTATAGTTTGGGGGTATATATAGTCAAACAAGGACTTGTATTCTATTGCCGGCTTCCTCTAAACCACAAAGAATTCCAATATATTTTATGTTAAGAAGATTAAATTTATAGACAAAACTTTGTAAATTAAATGACATGAAAGTTGATCATATTGAATTACTATTTAGGCATTGATAAACGTGTTCATTCATATTGATGACACATCATTTAATTTATCAATTTTGTTTACAAATTTAGTCTCTCTAACATTACCCTTTTCGTGCGCAGCCCATCCTGGTTGTTCATGTTTGTGGAATTCACAATAGCAACGGTTAAGATCAGCTGCTCCCCACAATTTATTTATCCTCTATGTGGTTTTTTTATTTCATTTTGATAATTACGATAAGGGCATATTTTTGTAAACATATAAAACTCAAGAATTAAAACGATTTTCATTCTTATTTATTGGAATTAAACGTGCAATATATTTATCCAAATAGGAAAAATACAAACTTATACTCATAGAGCAGAACACATTGATTTATTTACTTTGACCAAACTCAGGTATGCAAAAATAAACAAATAGTTGGAAAATAAAAAATAAAAAAAAATCTTCGAACATGAGAATCGAATCCAGATCCTCTTTGTGAGAATGTCGAGAATCCGTGAATCATGTCTGTTCATCGTGTCAGAAATTATTAAAAAAAAACTAATTAAAATTGAACAAAAACAGTACTTGATAAAAACTGACCTTATGATGTATGATGAACGGAGACAATTCTCAAATCTCCAGAATTTTCACAAAGAGGATCCGGAAGAGAATCCTGTTGGATGAGAACCAACCAATTACACATTCCCAGGTCGTTCTCCCACTTTTCTTGACCAACGAAGAACGAACCTCCTTTCCCGACTCCAACCTCCACATGGACTTGCATTTAATATGCAAATATAATGATTCAAGGAATCCAATAGCTGTTATAACTCTATTATTTTTTGGCTGTATTCAATATTTTTTTTTTTAATTAGAGGAAGGAAAACTCGAGGCTTCAGATGAAAAGATAAATGACAAATTGAGCTACCAGTTCTGTGCACATGAATTCCATAGCTGTTGGACTTGTATATGACTAGTAGAAGGCCATTAAAATTGACATTTTGATGGTGAAAGAAGTTGTGATTGTCACATTGTCTATTGAGTAATGCTAGGTAACCAATTTTTTAGATCAAATTTGCAAAATATATGATGTATCACCAATAAACATTAAACAATATGCACGTTAATCAACATTTGACGTGGTTTTCAAAATATAGTCGAAATAAATGGTCTCCCTAACATTACCCTATGCGTTTCAATGTAAAATTACAATTAGGTAACTATTTAATTTGTTATCAGCAAATCATACTGTGGTTTAGCTTTGAGAGTGAACAAACTTGAATTACTGACTGCTAAAGTATAACTTAACAATAGATTGCAATCCGATTCTTGATGCACACGAATAAGTATCCCCTTTCCACAGAAAATTACCTCTGGACATGGTTATGGCTTGTCAAATTGAGCAACATTCTATTCTCCCCGAAAGCCTGAGCAGTCCCGCTGCACGATCTCAATGAGACACCGGCTGAGTTAGCACCCGTTAATTTGTTTGTCAGGTTCAAAACTGAGCTAGGAGGCTTTTCCTCAGGCTCCATACAGCTTCAACATCGTGTGCTCTTTAGTCTTTGCAGTGAACTTGTCCTCAACCATACGAAAGCTCATTAACCACTATCAGTACCAATCCAACTGCAGGCGGTGTCTTTAGATATCCTGCTTAACCTAAGCTCAATTACAGTTTCCCATTTCCCAGCGGCTGCCAAAGTATTAGAGAATGCAACATATGCCCCTGGCTGGCCATCAGGATTCAATTTAAAAAGTTCCTTGTGTCACGGGATGACTCTTTAAGCCTTCCGCCCGTGCGGCACTTAGACTTGAATACCTCGATGAACAAGCTAAGTAAGCCTTCGAAGCCTCGCTTCCCCGGATCGAATCACAAAGAAAGCTAAGATAGCTTGGAGAATGCTAAGATCACTTAGAAGATGGGAGAAAGGAAGCTTTGTATTGAAACTTAAGAGAACTTTACAATTGCTTACAATTCTTGGATGGTTTGGCCAAATGGCCTTACCTCCTATTTATAGGCCTAAGTCACCTCCTCAATGGAGGGTTCTAGAATCCCCTACTTACATCCCAAAAATATCTAGCATAGTTCTAGATACAACTTGCCTAATCTAGATTATTCTAGGTGAGGCTTAAATATGTACACTTGTGTGGAATGTTCCGGAATGCCCTAGATTATCTTGAATGCTCCGCCACGTTCTTGATTTCTCCGGGACGTTCCAGAAGCTTCCATGAAGACATGGCTTCATGGGCTTAGATATATGATGTCTTGGGCATTTTCTTTGTTTTTAACATGCGGCCCGTGACATCCTCCCCCACTTAAGCCGTCGACGTCCTCGTCGACTCTTGCCTCTCGAATGTCTGAATCAGGTCCTTATATTGCCATAAGGACATCTCCTTCTCCCATGTTGCTTCGGAGTATGGTAGCCCCTTCCATTTGACAAAGTACTCCACATGCTTTGGTTGTCTTGGTCGCACCACGACACGCTTGGCTTCAATGCTCTCCACTTCTTTGTCAAATGCCTCCGTCATCAAAGGGGGTGCTCGATGAGACTCACCTCGACTTGGTTCTTCATCATCCGCATGATAAGGCTTCAAGTTGCTCACATGGAACACTGGGTGAAACTTGAGGCGGGGTGGGAGTTCCACAACATACGCGGCTTTGCCAACCTTCTTGATGATAGGGAATGGTCCCTCATATTTCCGCAACAAGCTCTTATGCAAGCCACGAGTACTCTTGTGCTGAGACGCATTGAGCTTCACAAAGACTTGGTCGCCAGTTTGGAACTCCACATTCCTTCGCTTGCGATCTGCCCATTTCTTCATCTTCTTTGAAGCCTTCTCCAAATGAGCTCGAGCAAGTTCGTGGGCTAATTGCCACTCCTTAGCAGTTTTGAAAGCGGCTGGACTATTCCCCGTGTAGCCAGTCACGACCGTGTTCGGGGTCAAGGGTTGTTGCCCTATAGCCAACTCGAACGGACTTTTCCCCGTCGACTCCGAACGTTGCAAGTTATAAGAGAATTGGGCAACATCAAGTAACTTAGCCCAATCTCGTTGATTGGCACTAACATAGTGCCGCAAATAAGTCTCCAACAATGCATTAACCCGCTCCGTTTGTCCATCAGTTTGGGGATGAAAAGCTGTGGAGAAGTCTAACTTCGAGCCAAGTAGTTTGAAGAGCTCCTTCCAAAATCTACCCGTGAAGCGAGCATCTCGATCACTGACTATGCTTCTCGGAACTCCCCAATACTTCACCACGTGCTTTAAAAACAAGCGTGCAGCTACTTCGGCTGTGCACTCCACAGGTGCGGGTATGAAAGTGGCATACTTGGTGAATCTATCGACCACGACGAAGATAGATCCACATCCATCAGACTTGGGCAAATGTGTGATGAAATCCATGGTTAAACATTCCCATGGTCTTGATGGGGTGGGAAGTGGTTCCAACAGTCCTCCCGGTTGCTTTTGTTCCACTTTGTCTTGTTGGCACACAAGACAAGTCTTCACGTATGAATCTACATCATCTCGCATTTGTGGCCAATAATAAGCATCGCTCACCAAAGCCAACGTGCGGTGAGTGCCAGGATGTCCTGCCCACATTGAGTCATGGCACTCCTTAAGGATTTCTTTCCTTAAGCTTCCCCACTTTGGGACGTAGATTCGCTTGCCCTTGGTGTATAGCAAGCCGTCCTCAAGCCAAAACCTTCTTGTCTTCCCCTCCTTGACAAACTCGACAATGTTCTTGGCTTGGACGTCATGTGATAAACCTTCTCGGACACGGCCCAAGAGATGGCTTTGCGGCTTGAGTACCGTAGCCATTAACTCTACTCGCCTACTTAGAGCATCGGCCACCACGTTCTCCTTTCCTTGCTTGTACTCTAGCTTGTAATCAAACTCTGCTAAGAACTCTTGCCACCTTGCTTGCTTAGGTGTGAGCTTTTGTTGGGTTTGAAAGTAGCTAGTGGCAACGTTGTCCGTCTTGATGACGAATGGGGTACCAAGCAAGTAATGCCTCCAAACTCTAAGGCAATGGACGATGGCGGTCATCTCCTTTTCATGGGTCGTGTACCTCTTCTCGGCATTGTTTAGCTTGCGACTTTCATAGGCTATCGGATGTCCCTCTTGCATCAACACTCCTCCTATGGCAAAGTCGGAAGCATCAGTGTGCAACTCGAATGGCTTACTAAGGTCGGGCAACCTTAGTACAGGCTCCTCCATTAGGGCCTTCTTCAACCTCTCAAAGGCCTCTTGACATCGGTCCGTCCATTCCCATGCCTTGTTTTTCTTAAGAAGGTCTGTTAAGGGTGCCGCTATAGCTGAATACCCTTTTATGAATCTCCGATAGTAGTTGGCTAGCCCCAGAAAAGATCGTAGTGTTGGTACCTTGGTCGGCGGTTCCCACTCTTGAATGGCCTTGATCTTGCCCTTTTCCATCATAAGTTTCCCCTCCTTTATCTTGTGGCCAAGAAATTCTACTTCTTTTGTGGCAAAAGAGCATTTCTCCTTCTTGACATAGAGTTCATGCTCCCGAAGGGTCTTGAACACTATGCGCAAGTGCTTGACGTGCTCCTCCAATGTCTTGCTATAGACAACGATATCATCAATGTAAACCACGACAAACTTGTCAAGATAAGGATGGAATACCTTATTCATCAATGTGCAGAATGTTGCGGGGGCATTGGTTAGACCAAATGGCATGACTTTATACTCGAACGCTCCATATCTGGTCACCATCGCCGTCTTCGATTCGTCTCCAGGGGCTATCCTCACTTGGTAGTATCCCGATCGAAGATCTAATTTTGTGAAGTACCTTGCTTCACCAAGTTGATCGAATAAGTCGGCGATCAACGGAAGTGGGTACTTGTTCTTGATGGTAATCTTGTTCAATGCTCTATAGTCGATGCACAACCTTAGGCTACCTTCTTTCTTGCGTTGGAACAAGACGGGTGCACCATATGGGGACTTGGAGGGTTGGATGTAGCCAGCATCAAGCAGCTCGTTGAGTTGCTTCCTCAATTCCTCCAACTCGGGTGGCGACATCCTATAAGGTGATTTGGAGGGAGGCTTAGCACCAGGCTCCAACTCAATTGCATGGTCGACCTCTCTCCTTGGTGGCAACTTCTTTGGCAGTTCCTTAGGAATCACGTCCGCAAACTCCACAAGGACGTCTTCCACTTGTTTCGGCAAAGGCCCGTGCTTCTCCTCCCCTTCATTCAACATTAGGGTTGCAAGAAATGTGGCCTCGCCTTTCTTCCAAGACTTGGCAAATTGAATTGCCGACAAGTGCTGGGTACACTTCTTGGCTTGCCTTTCCAATGGCACCAGGCAAGGTTGTCTTCCGTCGGCTAGGATACAGAAAATATTGTAGAAGGGAATGGGAAAGGCTCGTACCTTGTCCATGAACTCTAACCCAATGACTACGCCATAGTCGTCCATCTTGACTACGGTGAAGTCGATCGTTCCCTTCCATGTGCCAATGTCTACGTGCACATTACGCGCAACTCCAACAATGGGGGTGGCAGCGGAATTTACCGTCTTCACGCTACCGGGCTCCTTTGTGACTCGGAGGCCAAGCCTTGTGGCTTCCTCCGACGTCATGAAGTTGTGTGTTGCTCCCGTGTCCACCAACACACGCGTCGTCTTGTCACCAGTCTTGACGTCGACGAACAATGATCCTCCCCCAACTTGAGCCTTAGGTTGTGGGAGGGTTGTCTGGATGGCATTCAGTAGACGAATGCATCCCATCGTTGCATCGTTACTCTCCTCGGCCTTGTCCTCCTTGAAGGCCATGGCCTTAAGGGCCTTCTTTTGTGGGCAATCTCGCATCATGTGAGGGCCGTCGCATAGGTAACAAGTGGGTTGCCAAGACTTACCCTTGCCTTTGTCATGCTTATCGGCTTTCTTCTCCTTTGGTTTGCTTGTCTCGGCCTTGTCCTTCGGCTTATGTTCTCCCCCACTTCTCTCATGGTTACCCCTCTTCCCCGTGGACTTGGAATCACCTTGGTGGCTTGATTTAAACTCAATCAAGGATTCAGCGGCGGCAATGGCATCAGACAATGTTTGCACGTGCCTCCTTTGTAGTAGTTCGAGTTTTGCCCAATTTTGCAGTCCACTCATGAAGTACATGAGCTTGTCTTCCTCTAACATGTTGGGCACCTCGAATAACAAGCTCACGAAGGCGTTGACATAGTCTTTGACGCTCCCCGTTTGCTTGAGCCACCTTAGTTTCTCCTTGGCTTCGTACTTGGCATTTTGGGGATAGAAGTGCAACATAAGATCTTTCTTAAATTCATCCCAAGTGGTGAGAGAGAACGTACCTTGCTCAATCTCCATGCTTCGGCGACGCCACCACATAAGGGCATTGTCAGCTAAGAACATGGTTGCCGTTGAGATTTTGGACTCGTCATCTTCAAGCTTTAGGTACTTGAAGTATCGCTCCACGTTCCACACGAATGTGTCGAGCTCCTTTGCTTCCCTCTTCCCATTATAGGATTTGGGTTTAAAGGAGTCTATTACCTTGGAGTCCAACGCCTTGATTTCCCTCGGCCCTTGCACGAATTGCTTCACGACTGCTTCTTTACAAAACGCCACATCTCCCTTAAGTTCCCTTGTGTCCTTTATCTCTTCTTGAAGCGCCACAAAACCTTGCCTCTATGTTGTCAAGGTGAACTTGGACTTCCCTCCGCATCTTGTCTGCCATGGTGTTGAGAGCGCCAAGGAGCTCATCATCTCGTAGCCCTTCCCACCAAGCCACGCAGTTCATCCTTACCATTGTCCACCATGGTTTGGATTTCCTCCTTGTCGACAACGTCCTCATCGAGTCGAGTATCGAACTCGAGTATGGTTCGTTCCACCTTCTCGAGTCGCTCTTCCATGGTCTCCATCGATGCTTGCAAGTCTTTTAACTTTGGCTTGCTCTTGGCAACGTCTTGGACCTCTGCAGTACGCTCCCTTAGGTCGGAGACTCCGGACACCATCTCTCCACTTGCCATATCCTACTTTCCTTCAAGTGATTCACGAGCTTGGCTCTGATACCAGCTGTCACGGGATGACTCTTTAAGCCTTCCGCCCGTGCGGCACTTAGACTTGAATACCTCGATGAACAAGCTAAGTAAGCCTTCGAAGCCTCGCTTCCCCGGATCGAATCACAAAGAAAGCTAAGATAGCTTGGAGAATGCTAAGATCACTTAGAAGATGGGAGAAAGGAAGCTTTGTATTGAAACTTAAGAGAACTTTACAATTGCTTACAATTCTTGGATGGTTTGGCCAAATGGCCTTACCTCCTATTTATAGGCCTAAGTCACCTCCTCAATGGAGGGTTCTAGAATCCCCTACTTACATCCAAAAATATCTAGCATAGTTCTAGATACAACTTGCCTAATCTAGATTATTCTAGGTGAGGCTTAAATATGTACACTTGTGTGGAATGTTCCGGAATGCCCTAGATTATCTTGAATGCTCCGCCACGTTCTTGATTTCTCCGGGACGTTCCAGAAGCTTCCATGAAGACATGGCTTCATGGGCTTAGATATATGATGTCTTGGGCATTTTCTTTGTTTTTAACATGCGGCCCGTGACACTTGGCAGCTATATTTTGTTGGAATTAAATAGAAAAGTGTATGTGTAGTCTCATAAGACAAGTGTATGCTTTAGATCTTTGTTTGTGAATCAAGGGCTGAGATTGCTCTAGATTAGCTTGTAAGGAAATATCCTATGAGTTGATATTTAATGAAATATCTGTGGTTACTTCACAGATAAGAAACCTTTCACATTCCTCTAATTTTTGCTCTCTGTTTCTTTATTCCTGTCTGCCTTCAGAAATACACCATCCGGGAACCAACTAACTCACCGGAATTCATCATGGCCTCAGAGCTTAGGTTCTGATCAAATTCAGGACTGGGCGTTTTGTGTGTGCTTCGTATCTCTAAAAAGGAAAGGGGGAAAAACATACCCAGATCGTGAAAATCTCATCTGTTCTTACAAAGCCTCACATGGTTACTTCGGGCAGTGGAGGAGATCTGAGGGCTCCTATTTTCAATGGGATCAACTACGATTTTTGGTCCATCAAGATGAAGACCATATTCAAATCACATGATCTTTGGAATTTGGTGGACAAGGGTTATGAAACCGCAGAAACTGAAGATGATTCTAGCGATGAAGATCAATAGTCTGTGAGGAAGATAGCAATGAAAGTTAATGAAACCAGAGATGCAAAAGCTCTTGGTATCATTCAAGGGGCAGTGTCTGATGAGATTTTTCCTCGAATCTCAAACTTTGAAACCTCCAAGACTGCATGGGATGTTCTTCAACAAGAATTTCGTGGTGATAAAAAGGTTAGGTCTGTCAAACTACAATGTTTAAGAAGAGATTTTGAGTACACTAGGATGAATGATGGTGAAGCTCTATCTGTTTATTTAACAAGATTGACTGACATTGTGAATCAAATGAAAACTCTTGGTGAAGAACTGACAAACCAAAGATTAGTACAAAAGATACTTATTAGCTTGCCTAAATCCTATGATTCCATCGCATCTATTATAGAAGAAACTAAGGACCTTGACTCCATTGAGGTTCAGGAGGTGATTGGTACATTGAAAGGCTATGAGCAGAGGTTAAATAGGCACTCTGAAAACTTAGCTGAAAAGGCTTTTACTAGCCTAAGTGTGACTGAGAGAGATAGCAGTTACAGGGCTCAGGGAAACAACTCAAATCAAAAGAAATTATGGAAATGAAAAGGGAAGAAATGGGACAACAACCATACTTCACAATCAAAATCAGAAACTAGCAGTGAATCTACCAAAACCAAGTGTAAAATTTGTGACAAATTACACTATGGTGTTTGCTGGTTCAAGGGAAAACCCAAATGCACCAAGTGTGACAGATTTGGCCATCTAGCAAAAGATTGTAATCCAAGAAGGAACCAAGCTGTCAATTATGCACATAGAGCAGAAGAAGAGGAAGTAAATGTCTTTTATGCTTGTAGTGTTGCAAAAACTGAAAACAAGAGAGGAATCTGGTATATTGACAGTGGATGCAGTAATCATATGATTGCATATGAATCCTTGTTAATCAACATTGACAGAAGCTTTAATTACAGAGTTAAAATGGGGAATGGACAGCTAGTGGAAGCTACTGGAAAAGGAACTCTTGTTCTAGAGACAAAGGGTGGAAGAAGATTCATCAAGGATGTAATACTTGTACCAGGTCTTGATGAGAATCTCCTTAGTGTGGGACAGATGATTGCTCATGGTTACTTCTTACTTTTTGGAGACAATATGGTGGAGATCTTTGATGACAGAAGCCTCTAAAACTTGGTAACACAAGTTGGCATGACAGAAAACAAAAGCTTTCCACTTATGCTAGATTACAATGATTCAATTGCTCTAAAAGCAAGTGTTGCAGAAAACTCTTGGTTATGGCATAAGAGGTTTGGACATCTCAACTTTCACAGTTTAAAGAGATTGGAGAAACTACAAATGGTGACTGGTCTTCCTGAGTTACAAGAGACTAAAGAACCGTGTGAAGGTTGCATATTGGGGAAGCATCACAGGGACTCTTTTGAAACTGGAAGTGCATGGAGAGCAAGTCAACCTCTAGAACTCATACACACAGATGTGTGTGGTCCAATGAAGACACCTACACTCAGTGGGAACAGATATTTTCTGCTATTCATTGATGACTGCACCAGGATGGTTTGGGTATATCTTATGAGAAACAAGAGTGAAGTTTTTTCAATCTTCAAGAAATTCAAAATGATGGTTGAACTTCAGAGTGGTCTCAAGATCAAAAGACTAAGAAGCGACAGAGGTGGTGAATTCACTTCACTTGAGTTCCAAGAATTCTGTGAAGGAGCAGGATTACAGAAGCAATTGACAGTGGCCTACACACCACAGCAGAATGGTGTGGCTGAGAGGAAGAACATGATCGTGGTTGAAATGACCAAGTCAATGCTTCATGATAAGAAAATGCCATTTTCTTTTTGGGGTGAAGCTGTCAATACATCTGTGTATCTCCTAAACAGGTGTCCAACTAAAGCACTTGAGAAGAAAACACCGTTTGAGGCATTTAGTGGCAGAAAACCAAGTGTGAAGCACTTGAAGGTGTTCGGATCAATCTGCTATGCACAGATACCATCTCAATTAAGACACAAGCTTGAGATCAATAGTGTCAAGTGTGTCCTTGTAGGTTATGGAAGCTGTGAAAAGGGTTATAGGCTCTACAATATTGAGTCACATAAAGTGATTCTCTTAAGGGATATGGTGTTCAAGGAGAATGAAGCATGGAATTGGGAAACCAATAACATAGACACTATCTCATTTCCACTAGCAATGGAAGAAACACAAGCGGAAGTGCAAAATGTGAATGAACCTGTTATACAAGATGGGAGTCAAACTGACTTTTCAACTCCAACACAAGGATCTCAGTCCTCTACTTCAAATGCAGAAGGACAAGAATTACAGGATTCCTCCCCTGAAACAACTCCATTGAGAATGAGGAGTTTAAATGAGATCTATGCAGTGTGTAACTATTGTGTTGTTGAACCAGAGAGTTTTGAAGAAGCTGAGAATGATCAATCCTGGCAGAAAGCTGCCATGATTGAGAAAAACTCTACTTGGAAATTGGTAAATAGACCAAGTGATAAACCTGTGATAGGTGTGAAATGGATCTACAAGACCAAACTGAATTTGGATGGATCAATACAGAAGAACAAAGCAAGATTAGTTGCCAAAGGCTACTCACAACAACCTGGGGTAGATTTCAATGAAACCTTTGCCCCAGTGGCAAGGTTAGATACCATTAGAACCTTGATTGCTCTTGCTGCCCAAAAGGGATGGAAACTTCACCAGTTAGATGTTAAATCAGCTTTTCTAAATGGCATTCTGGAGGAAGAAGTGTATGTGGATCAACCACAAGGATTTGAAGTGCTAAATAAAGAAGAGAAGGTTTATAAGTTAAACAAAGCACTGTATGGACTCAAACAAGCCCCCAGGGCTTGGTACAGTGAGATAGACTCCTATTTCAGCAAGAGTGGATTTAACAAAAGTCCTAGTGAAGCTACATTATATACAAAAACTGGTGAGAACTCTGAGATGCTTATTGTGTCTATATATGTTGATGATGTGGTCTTTTTGGTAATTGTGAAGAAATGATTGAAGAATTCAGAAGGGACATGATGAGACAATATGAGATGTCGGATCTTGGGTTGTTGCATCACTTCTTGGGAATTTGAGTAATACAAGAAATTACTGGGATTTTCATACATCAACAGAAGTATGCCCAATCATTGCTTGAAAGATTCAATCTGAAAGGATGCAAATCTGTGGCAACACCATTGATCACGAATGAGAAACTTTGTAAAGTGGATGGTTCTGAATCTGCTGATGAATGCTTATACCGAAGAATGGTTGGAAGTCTGCTTTATTTGACTGCTACAAGACCTGACATTATGTATGCAGCCATTCTCTTATCAAGGTTCATGCATAATCCCACAAGAATTCACATGGGAACTGCTAAGAGAGTACTAAGGTATATCTCAGGGACCTTGGACTATGGAATCAAATATGAAAAGGGAGAAAAAGCAATACTGGTAAGCTTCTGTGACAGCGATTGGGGTGGCAGTGAAGATGACATGAGAAGTACCTCTGGATAAACATTTACATTTGGTTCTGGGATATTTTCTTGGGCCTCTGTCAAGCAACAAAGTGTTGCATTGTCTACGGCTGAAGCAGAATATGTGAGTGCTGCAATGGCTACCTCTCAAGCTATATGGTTGAGGTTTGTGTTAAAGGATTTTGGTGAAATGCAAGTGGATGCTTCACCACTTATGTGTGACAACACATCAGCAATAGCTATGACCAAAAATCCTATTTTTCATCAGAAAACCAAGCATATCAAAAGGAAGTTTCACTTCATAAGGGAAGCCTTACAGGAGAATACCATTGAATTGATCTACTGCAAATCACAGGATCAAATGGTCGACATCTTTACCAAAGCTCTACCAAGGGAAAGATTTGTCTATCTCAGAGGAATGCTTGGGATCAAAACCAGAATTCATTTAAAGGGGAGTGTTGGAATTAAATAGAATTTAGTTTTGTTCAAGTGGTTAAGAAGGAAGAAACCAATAGAAAAGTGTATGTCTAGTCTCATAAGACAAGTGTATGCTTTAGATCTTTGTTTGTGAATCAAGGGTTGAGATTGCTCTAGATTAGCTTGTAAGGAAATATCCTATGAGTTGATATTTAATGAAATATCTGTGGTTACTTCACAGATAAGAAACCTTTCACATTCCTCTGATTTTTGCTCTCTGTTTCTTTATTCCTGTCTGCCTCCAGAAATACACCATCCGGGAACCAACTAACTCACCGGAATTCATCATATTTGCCATATCAACATCACCATGTAGTGTGCTTGAACTAAGAAGAGCAGCCCAAACATCGGAGTTGGGCTTCTCAGGCATCTCCATTGCAAACTCCCACGCTTGACACAAACTTCCTGCACGTCCCAAGAGATCAACCATGCAAGCATAATGCTCCATCCTTGGTTTTAAGGAGTAGTCCCTATCCATGCTTTCAAAGATCTCCATGCCTTTGTCTACTAGCCCAGCGTGTCTGCAAGCTGAGAGAGCACTGAGGAATGTTACAAAATTGGGTTCAATTTGGTGTTTTCTTTGCATCATACGAAAGAGCTCAAGTGCTTTGTCAGGATATCCGTTCTTCCCATAACCATCGATCATTGAAGTCCATGAAAACACATTTTTTTCAGGCATGTGGTCAAAAACTCTCCGAGCATCCTCAACTCTTCCGCATTTTGAGTACATGTCAATAAGAGCACAGCCCATCTTTATATCCAAAAACAATCCAGCCTTCATAAGATGACTTTGGAATTGTTGGCCAACTTCAAACGATGCCAACACTGAGCAAGCTCCAATAACACTAGCAAATGTAGAGAGATTAGGTAGGAAATTCAACCGTTGCATGTCAATATAAACCTCAAGTGATATCCTCGCATATTCAACCAATTTGCTGTAACCTTCAATCATTGCGTTAAATACCACCACATCTTTTTCAACCGTTTTCCTAAATATATCTTCAGCATCTTCCACAGAGCCCCAATTCATGTATCCAGAAATCATGGACGTCGAACATATCACATTCTTTTCCAACGTCATATCAAACAGTCCTCGCATACTGGACCTTCCCATTCTTAACGTAAGAGTCTACAAGCGCAGTATAAAGTACATCATCAGGCTCAACGTCTTTTCTAATCATCTGGCCATGAACTACTCGTCCTAAACTACACGGCAATGCAACAGTACCAGCACAAGTAGAGGCTCTCAAAACGTATACCCATCAGGCTTTTCACCAGATAAAATCAGTCTCCGAACCAAACTAAGCGATTCTTCTACCTTCGCACGTTTGAGGTAACCACCAATCAAGTAATTATAAGCGGAAAGAGTTTGTGCAGGCAATTCATCAAACACTTTGCGTGCATAAGCCAATGAACCGCATTTGAGGTGGAGGATAAGGAGTTTGATGGAAATATTGACATTGGGTCGGAACCCAGATTTGAGAATATGGGTATGGATCTTTTGGCCATGGGAAGGGTTATCTGAGTTGATGAAGTGTTGCAGAGCAGATGATAGAGTGGTGGCAATTGACTGAGAGACGGAGCCTTGTGGTGGCGGGAGAACTTGATTTGGTGGGGGAGGCATTTTCTGGTAAATCGACGGTCTGATTGTGAGTAGTATTCCCCTTTTCATTTACACCGTTGGATCTGATATCAGGTGTTCATGGAACACTGAGTAGGATATTCTCGCCATGTCGATCTTGTTATGTAATTTTTGGGTCAAAAGTTATGGCCAATAGGCCCATCAACTTCAAAGGGTGCATGTCATTTATGAGAAATACTGGGCTCCTTAAGAATAGATGACCAACTTTTCTTTAAATATTTCATGGTTTATTTACAAAATTTTGTGTTTATGATCAATACAGTTCATATTATAAATTATTATGTAAAGATTATCTCTACATAAAATCAATTAAAACTAAGATCATTTAATCATTGAACTATTTAAACAGATTGACGGATTCGGTAAAAGTATTATGAATTGTCTATTTATTTGCTACAATTCAGTAACTAAACAATCTTGGTTTTAATTGATTTTTTGTAAAGATGATCTTTACAAAGTAAATTATAATATAAATAGTTCCCATCATAAACAAGATATTGTGTATATAGGCCACAAAGTGTTTTTAGGAGAAACTCCTCCTTAACCTTAAGGAGCCAAACTTTTCTCTTTCTCAAATATGAAAAAGAAAAGTTGTTTATACAAATATAATCTCCCCTTGTTCAGGCGTATGTGGATTTAAGAGTAAATTTGATATAAGTTTAATTTCATAAAATAGAAAAACTGAACTAAATCCACTAACTCCTCAAAATTTTTGACCTGAATCAAAGTACCCCTTAAAATACCAAAAACAATTAACACAAATTTTTTTATGAAGCGGTTACAATGTTAAAAGGGATGGCTTTAGTGTGGTGAATTCTATCGTGGTTGATAATGGGTTATAAATGCCCCACTCCTGGCACTAATATTTCGTCCGGCCAACAATCATTGACCCATGCTTCGAGTCCGCCTCTTTTCGAGAATTCATGTAAGACTTTTCGTTGACATTCTTCAGAGTGAAACACTATTTTGGCAACGTTTTGGGCATCGCTCCTATTTATTCCACTTATTGTTTAGTTTTCGACTTAAATATTCTATTAAAAATACATTTTGGGCTCCATATATGGTAAAATAAATTCCATGTGCCTTATAAAGTTTTCTTTAATGCTTGAGAAAAATATTTCGTGAAAATAAAAATTTGGATTTTTTCCCAAAAAAAATGCGTGTGTTAACTCTCACGATTTTTAGTCGAGTTTACAATTTTGTACAAAGTTCATCATAATTACCCATTTGCTTTCACCTCCGCCTCACCGTGAGATTTTGAGAATTCATGTAAGATGGAAGTGACAACTTTAGTGTGAATTATATCGTGGTTGACACCAGCTTATAAATTCCCCAATCTCCGCACCAATGCTTCGTCCTACCAACCATGGTTGACCCGTGCACCGAGCCCGCCTCGCATTCCATGCGTTGACCCTCCTCGTTTTGCATGCAATTTTTTGGTGCATGGAGCCCGTCTCTTTTTGCGTGAACAAATTTGCCTCGTTTATGTGCCACCTCGCCTCATTTTGCATGCGCGGAGCCCACCTTGTTTTGCATGCGTAGACTCAGCCTCATTTCTCATGCTAGAAGCCCACCTCGTTTTCTATGAGCAAACTCAACCTCGTTTTGCATGCACATAGCCCACCAAATATCCGCTTTGGTGGCTACTCTGCCTCTTTCTACTTCGGTACTAGACAAATAAATAGAAGTGTGCAAAAAAAAAAAAAAAGTGCTAAATTCATTTTTATAAAATGTATCTAGGTATAATTTGTTCTTGATGATTCTATTACTTCTTCTTCTTTTTTTTCTTTTTTTCTATGTTCTTTTTTTTAAACAACTTTAGGAGTGCGGGAGTCCAAACATATAATGCTGACCCAATGGCCCCATATTCAAAAGAATTAGCATATTATGGAGTGGTTTAAGAGTTCTTGGCCATCACTTCTTCCAACCCAGTTTTTAGGTGCAAAATCTATAAATCGACTCCTATCAAAACCTTGTTTCACCATGCGAGTTCTACAATCGAGTCATTGAGCACTACTAGAGGACTGAAACCACCTCAAAGGGAAGGAAATGGCTACCACTAAGTCAGTGCCGATAGAGATGAACCAATATTGATGTTGGGTACGTTAGCAACTTAGCATGGTGGAGTATTAATATTCAATTGCTCACATCTAAATAATTAGCATAATTTGAGGTAGCTTTTGGAGACCCTTCTTTTACAAGTAAGTTTTTGAGAAAAAATCTACTCATGATCTCAAAAATCGAATACATATTCTTAACCAACTGAGTCACAAACATGTTATCATAATTTTATAGCTTTAACGCCACTGGTGTAGCTACTTTGGCGCAACCCCACTTGCAAGTTGCAACTGTCATTTTAAGAAGAAAAGTGACTACGCATGAGGAACTTTTCTTCATTGTGGGGATAGGGAAAACAACTTCCATTTTGATTCTAGATCATTCACACACAAACCCTTATTGAGTGGATTGGTTGGATTTCAAGAACCTTTTGCTTTCCCACATTTAAAAAAGAGTAATGTTAAGTAAATCAATTTTTTAGACCAAATTTAAGAGAGATTTTTTAGTATGATTGGTACACGAGATGATACACCACATGTTACTATACAAATGATGGGATTTGTGTGTCAAAAAGTTAATAACTTAAAAAATAAAAAATTTCACCACTTACATAAAAACACGTGGTGTACCACTCGTGTTCCCGTTACAATTAAAAATTTCTCTAAATTTACAAATCATGTGAACTTTCACCAATAAAAAATCAGCACTTTAATCAACACGTAAGTAATAATCAAATTATCAACAATCACGTCATATATTTTTATAAAATTTAATCTAAATAATTTATCTCCTTAACATTACCCTTTATATTACGTTACATTACAAAGCTACGTAAATTACAAACCAATTGGCCGGTTTTGCTTTACTCAAACTTTTGGGATTGCACTAACCAATAATTATAGCTCTGCTGATCATTGATATTAAACAAGTGGGGCTGTTGTGGACTTTCTTTCATAAAACCTAACAAATGAAAACGAGATCCACGAATCGACATTGGAGTAAAATATCATATTCAAACAAAGCTATCACTCTTGAGTCCCACTTGTGCGCCACAAACTTGCATGTATTTGTTGATATTTCAACTCTACATATGTCGATAATTGTTGATATGCAATATTCATTTACTTAGCAATGCATTACGACCATTCATTTATGCTTACATACACTTGAGTAATAGAGATGTGATGCCATAATTACAGTGGCTTTGTGGGCGTGCAAATTAGTAAATCCTAAAACTAGACAAAAGGGCATTCGTTAATCATGCTACTGAATCATTGATATGTGCATGTTAATAGTATGATGGGAAAGGCATATAAGAGGAAAGGAAACTTTAGAATCTTGCAAAAAGGCCGTTGATCTCCACACGTTCAACAGATGGTTAAACACTTTTTTCAATTGGAAATGATGAATATTAACACAGATTATTTTAACATCAAATTTAATCGTTCTTTCAATTAGTAATCATACTTTCAAGGTGTGCAGAGCTTCATCACCTGTTATTAAATTCTTATACACCTTTTGTGTAAAAAGACAGTGCCAATTCTAAATATTAAATCCATTTTGATTTATCTGCATGTATCTACTGTGATTCATGCATATGATAATTTTCTTTTTGCAGATTGTATTTCCAATCCCTGGCTTCTAAACCCTAGTATGGCTTTACGCAGTGTGTCAGTAGGTTTACTAAAATAGGTCAAGAGAGTTATTCTTGCCTCTGCAGATGCCTCAATAGACAAATACATATTGAACTTGACGATGGCATAACCATATCGATCAGTTTTTTCATCAACATGGGAGCATGGAGTCGAGCTGGAGACCTTTTTCTACGTTGGGAAGAGAAATATCACTAAATAATTAAGAGATAATTGACCATCTCGATCAATATTAGTATTAGTACTGCTAGATGTAGAATGAATGTATGTATTAATTGTTTGGTAGATCTTACCTACCTTTGCTTGCTAGCATTTGAGTTGCTCTCTTTAAAGTTGATGCATGGTCCTTCAGTTCATTCCCAAGTCGATGAGTTGAAGTCATTGATAAAGTTCTTAATTTTGCCGCCGGGGGGGTGGGGAGAGAGAGAGGACAGGAGGAGAGGCCAAAGGACCCACGAATGACACCACGCATTACAAACAATTTAATGTAAAGTCAAGCAGGGTCATGTCACCAATCCATCAGTAGCAGTTCAGAAAATATATCATCTCTGAAGACTGTTTAACTATCCAGATTGGAACACAAGACTTCAGTGCAAGAATAAATAATCATGTTTACTTGAGCTATAAATTCTTTGTAAGAAAAAGACAAAGCTTTTGACTTCTTGATGTAAGTCTTAAAAAGCTAAATAAACAAAATAGAGAGATTGAGCGAGTCGTAGTGAAAAATATGTTGATAATTTGGTCAGAGATCGATAACGTGCTAGATATTGTAGATTAAAACTGTTAACTTTGACACACTTGTTTAATTCTATCCACTCCTTTTGTAAGTGCATAGAGAAAATAGTAAGGTTTTTAATTTGAAATGTAGACTAAATTTGTAGATTATATTTATAGGATAAGAAAATATAGGAGGGTCTCGATTTGTATACGCTTAAACTAGCAATCGTATACAATAATCTTTCTAAAAGATGAGCACCGAGATCGTTACTCTAATACTTGTTGAGAGTGGAAGACCACCAACAGAGAATTAAGGGATTTTGTGTGTTATAAGAAATTGGGATGTTCTTCATATTGTCAATTGATTTTATGATAAAAACTCAATTTTTTTTCTTCATGGTAACAAAGCATGTTACCTGATTGTTGAGCCAACGTACGACTCACGTGTTCCCACATCATTTAATATAAGTGTGTGTTGTCGACATTAAGTTTAAATGACTCTACATCTCTGATAGAGAGTGCAAATTCCACATTTAAAATCATGACTCTACATAT